GGTTTCCTGTGTATTTTCCTTCATTTCAATTAGTTTAGCTTCCATATGTTCCTCTAATTTATGACTAAAATCAACCAGTTCTGTGAGCATCCTGATCACCAGTGTTTTGAACTGTGCATCTGAAAGTTTGGCTATTTCTTCATTGCTTAGATTTATAGGTTCTGGGGCTCTGAGTTGTTCTTGAGCCATGTTTTGACCTGTTCATGCCTGTTACGTATGAGGAGCAGGGCCTTAGTTGTTCAGCAGGGCGTGGCCACCCAGGTTGCTGTTTTGTGATGCTGTATGTGGGGGCAGGGTCAGAGACGGACAATGGCGGTTCTCTCTGCTGCCTTCTGCCACTGGGGCCTGCAAGGTCCGCCTCACCACTGCTAGCTCCTTCACCGGTTTATCTCCGCCTGAATGTGCGACCATGGTCTGCCCTCAGTGGGTCTGCTGCCTTGCACCCTCAGTGGGTCCAACACCTAGCGCCCTCAGGGGGTCCGCCCCCTTCTCCACACCTGGGATCCGCCCACGGCTGCTGGCACATCTGGGTAGCGGGCCTGTGTTGGTTGGGTGAATCTTTCCTGTCTGACCCGGTTCTGCTGGTGGCTCTGCTGCTAGCTCTGCCCCTGTTACTGGTTTGGCTCTAGGGTTTGTTTTGTGAGACTTCCATGTAGTTCAATTTTCTGTGGTTTGGCTGCGTTTTTGTTGCTAAAACTTTGTTGTTTTTAAACTTGGTTGTGTGATAAGGAGAAGTGCTTCCACCTACGCCTCCATCTTGGCGGAAGTCCCTCCTATCTCTTTTTAGATGAAAAAATGAAGTTACAGAGAAGGAGAGTAATTTCCACAAGGTCACAAAGGTGGTAAGAGGCAGAGCCAGTGCTAATTTCATTCTGATTTTAGAGTCCATGTTTCTAATCTGTATGTTATTTTAATATTTTAAAAATGCTATTGAAGAAAACTGGGGCTACTGTAGATGTCCTAAGAAGGCGGTGTTGTCTTCACCTTAAATGTCACTGCCTCTTTCTTAATCCCCTCATTTTGCACAGTAGGTACTTCTATAACAGGACCAGTAACAACACTTTCTTATACTTCTGTACTTGTATTTTTAGCTCTCTCTGTTAACCTACATTTAACCTATTTTAAGGATTATGTTTGAGCCACTAGATTTAGTTTAGTGGATGACATATTATATATTCACCATTCAATTTTCATTTAATGAAAAAAGTGAATGGATGATCTTTAAATTGATTAGAACTATCCAGTGGTGGAATACCTTTTTTGTAAGGTAATGAGCTCTTGGTCACCAGCAGTATTCAAGCATGAGCTGGATGCTTGAGGGATGCTTTAAGGGATGCTACAGAAGAAACTTCCATGTCACGTGGAAATAGAATCCTTCCATCAATTATCTGATCCTATCATGAATTAATTATGATTATTTCTCAAAACATTAAGTTAGCACATACTGTGTTTCTAGCACTGTTCTAGGCACTGAAGATAAAAAGGTAAAAGTGGCCTAGCCAGTATTCATAGGAACTAGTAGTCCCTGGAAAATTAAGAACAGAGGTACTTAAGGGTGTAGGTATAAAGTTTTAATAGATTAAAATCTGTCTTTTCCTCTTTATTTTTGAAATGTTTTGAATAAATGGGGAAGGGAGGGAAGAGCTGTTACAAGGGGAAGAACTAGGTATGAAAGATGACCCTAAAATTGGCTTCCTGAGAAGGGAGAATTCAGGGAATGAAGACTACATGCTATGTTCTTATTGGGGAAATTCCCCCAAATGGAAATGCCAGTGTTTCCTGTCAAGATATAGTATAGGGCGGATGTAACTCAGTAGTGAAAATAATTTAAAATTCTTGGAACAAATGTGCTTTCTCCAAAACCAATAAAGATGATTAAGTCCTATCTCCTTCTACCCTCTTTAGAGGCATTAATATGAAATGGACAGTCCATTAAGTCATGTTCACAAGACTTAAAGCTTTCTGGTGATTAGGACAAGCATTCTAACAATTAAATACAAAGGGACCCTTCAGGGTCTTTCCTGATCACATGCCTGAAATCTGTTGGACAGTGGGGGAGTAGTGGTTATTCTTTATGTTGCCCTGGTACTTCATGTTGCTTATCTTTCACACGTGTCCCAATATGCCTTGACACAGAATCATTCTCACTAGCTGGGACTGGATGCCTAGGTAGGTGGGGAATTCCCATTTTGTTTAAAATCATAGTTGTCTTTGGGTTTGGCTGGCATGTTCATGCTAAGTTTACTGACAATTGTTTTTTTTTTCCTCTTATACCATATGCTGTTCCGTGATTCATCTGCTTTGAGTCTGTTGCCTTGAAGGTGAAACCATTTCTTCCAATGTTGATATTTCATAATCTCATAGATAACAAGCATACACATATGCATAGTATTTCAGAAGTTTTAAACATTTGGAGATGAATGAATTATGCTGTCACAAATGGAAAAGAGCAGTATAAAATCATAATGGTGATATTAAATCATCTTTTATTGGGTGTTTGGGTGAGCCCTGATATTGATAAAGTCTGGAAACTTTACCATATCTCCTTATCTCTTCTTGAGATATTGTTTCTCGTATGTATTACTTATTTATGAATTTTTAAATGCATTTTTCTTTTTATATTGTTGTTTAACTATAGTTGTCTCCATTTTCCTGCTACCACTCCCACCCACCCCAGCCATCCCCACCTCCCACCCTCCATCCTACTATTTATGGATTTTTAAAATATATTTTATTGATTATACCATTACAGTTGTTATATTCCCCCCTTCATTCCCCTCTTCCCTGCACACCCCTCCCCCACCATTCTTCCCCTTTAGTTTATGACCACATGTGTCAAGTTCTTTAGATTCTATATTTCCCCTAATATTCTTGCCCTCCCCTCTGTCTATTTTCTACCTACCGTCTATGCTACTTATTCTCTGTACTTTCTCCCCTTTTCTCCTTCTCCCACTCCCCTGTTGCTAACCCTCCATGTGCTCTTCATTTCTGTGGTTCTGCTCCTGATCTAGCTGTCCTCTTAGTTTGCTTTTGTTTTAGGTGTGGTTGTTAGTAACTGTGAGTTTGCTGTTCTTTCACTGTTCCTATTTTTTATCTTCTTTTTCTTAGATAAGTCCCTTTACATTTCATATAATAAGGGCTTGGTGATGATGAACTCCTTGAATTTGATCTTATCTGAGAAGCACTTTATCTGCCCTTCCATTCTAAATGAAAACTTTGCTGGATAGAGCAATCTTGCATGTAGGACTTTGGTTTCCATGACTTGGAATACTTCTTTCCAGCCCCTTCTTGCCTGTAAGGTCTCTTTTGAGAAATCAGCTGACAGTCTGATGGGAACTCCTTTGTAGGTGACTGTCCCCTTATCTCTTGCTGCTTCTAGCAAGAGATAGAAGCAGCATTTTAATCTTGGCTAATATAATGATGATGTGCCTTGGTGTGTTCCTTCCTGGGTCCAACTTCTTTGGGACTCTGAGATTCCTGGATTTCCTGGAAGTCTAGTTCCTTTGCCAGAATGGGGAAGTTCTCCTTTATTATTTGTTCAAATAAGGTTTCCACTCGTGACTGTTCCTCTTCTGGTACCCCTATAATTCGAATGTTGGAGTGTTTAAAGCTGTCCTGGAGTTTCCTAAGCCTCTCCTCATTTTTTTGAATTCTTGTTTCTTCATCTCTTTCTGTTTGGTCGTTTCTTTCTTCCTTCTGGTCCACTCCTTTGATTTAAGTCTCAGTTTCCTTCCCATTACTATTGGTTTCCTGTGCATTTCCTTTCATTTCCATTAGTTTAGCCTTCATATGTTCCTCTAATTTATGACTAAAATCAACCAGTTCTGTGTGCATCCTGATCACCAGTGTTTTGAACTGTGCATCTGAAAGGTTGGCTATTTCTTGGTCACTTAGAGTTATGGGGTCTGGGACTTTGAGTTCTTCTTGAGCCATAATGTTTTGTTCTGTTCGCACCTGTTAAGTATGAGGAGAGGAGCCTTAGGTGTTCACCAGGGTGTGGCCACCCAGGTCGCTGTTTTGTGACGCTGTATGTGGGGGCAGGGTCAGAGAGGGACAATAGTGGTCCCCTCTGCTGCTTCCTGCTGCTGAGGCCTGTGTGGTTTGTCTCACTGCTTGCTCCTTTGCCAGTTTATCTGCGTGTGAATGTGTGACCGTGGTCAGCTCCCAGTGGGTCCACCGGCTGCTACTCCACACCTGGGATCCACCCACTTCTGCCTGAGTGGTTGGGTCTCTCACCCAGGTAGATCCAGTGGATTTTTCCTGCCCAACTCTGCTCTGCTGCTGTCTCTGCCCCTCTTACTGGTTTGGCTGAAGGGTTTGTTGTTGTCAGACTTTCGTATAGTTCCATTTTCTGTGGTTTGGCTGTGTTTTTGTTGCTAAAACTTTGTTGTTTTTAAACTTGGTTGTGCGAAATGGCACAGTGTTTCCACCTATGCCTCCATCTTGGTAGAAGTCCTATTTATGGATTTTTGAATTGAACATTTTACTTCAATTGCTTTGATTTTATGTATTTTAATATTTTAGATGGACAGAATCTTTACTTGTAAAAGTGGGGTTTAGATTCCAAGAAAATTGTTAACATTCACTTTTATGATGACATCTTCTCTCTCATGGGTAGCAATATCTACTCAAATATCAAGAAGTCTTTTCATTTTTGACATAAATAATACTCTTTCAAAATATTTTAATAGACCATATTACCTTTCTGAATGTAATACAAAGCAGTTACTTCCGCATAAGTACTTTCTATCAGAGATTGGTCTTTTCATAAACATGGACTAAATATGATTTTTGCATATAGCTTTAATCAGTGCACCTGTCGTGTTGCATTATTTAACCACCTGTATCTGTCAGTGATTGTTTTCTGATGAAGAAAAACTCGTTATAATTTCATGGTATACATGCATGTGTAAATATAAGTTATACATTTAGACTTTTTTTTTAAAGATTCTAATCCTCAGTCTATGTTCCTCCCCATCTCCCCTTTTACCTGGTTTTAGCTCCTCTTTGGTTCAGGTGTGCTGGTGTCCCTAAGCCTTTCTGGGCCACAGCTGGAGAAAGTGGTGATTGACAGAAGCCTGGTGGGAAAGCTCATCTCAGACACCATCAGTGATGGTAATTACCCCTATGTGCAAATCAATTGCCTACAATTAACAGTGGGGCAGGAGAAATAGTGTGTCAACAGGTAGACTAATTATTACCAGTGAGGACTTGAAAACACTAGTAATTGCTTGTAATAGCATAGTTAGAACCCATGGGACCAATACAAGTTTTGACTAATGTTTAATATCAGAGTTTTTATCGAGTGTTGGGCTCATATTCTTAATATTTCACCCTTTTCTTAAAAAATGTGTTGTATTTTCAAAATGGATTTTTCTGGTGTGTTCTTTCAAAATTAGTTTCCTATTAACATTTCAAATATTTTTCATTTTCAAATGAATTTTGAATAAGTAACCCAAATATGCCAACACAACTCAGTAAAGAAAATTTGTGCTTTGCCTCTTAGGAAGATTCTTTGTTACTGAAATCTATGAGTACTAACTTTTGAGAGAGTCTAGACAATATTTCTTTCTTTTTTAAAAAATTAGAGTTGACATACAATATTATATTAGTTTCAGTTGTACAACACAATGACTGGACAGTATTTCTAAATATCAAAAATCAATGCCAAATATACTAGGTAAATCTGGATCTTATTAAGTGAAACCGTAATACTATATAATTGCTATAAAGCATATAAGAAAAAGATTTTAAGTCAGATATTTAAAAGGTAGGATACTGGTATTTGTTGAGCCCTAAGAGGCTCTATGCTTTGCCAACCTACCCATTTTATTTAGTTCAAAAAACAACCTTTTATAAGGTATAGTTATTTTCACCTTATAGATAAGGAAATTGAAGTTGAGATACTAAGGAATAGCTCAAAAATGACAGGTAAGATATGAATGAACCCAGGTTCTAGCTGCAGAACTTATTTTCTTTGCACTATACTATGGTGACTCCTACAGTTTTAAGATTATGCTTTTTTTACTCACAGTAAAAGTTCCAAGAAGCAGATTGTATTTTCATTAGAGATTGAAAATGGTCAGTATCTTAAATTGAATAATCAAAGGAAAGTGTGGTCCAATGGAAACAGACAGAGGTCAGGGCTATCTCTGAATAAATCAGACTCAATTTCATCATCTTAAAGAAAAGCAGTCTGCAGGATGGCTATAATTAGCAGTATTAATAAGGATTGTAAGCGTTCTGTTTTCTCTTCCTTACAGAAATATGGTGCTAAGGAAACTTCCCTATGGAAGAGGTTTCATTTTCATGTCTCATAATTGGACCCCTTTGTTGACACTGCAAATAAAATAGTGACTGTGATGATTTTATCATACTGATGTACCTCTATAAGAATTGAAAGGAGACTTCCAACACTATTCATGTCTGAGATATCTTCTTTCACTTGTTTCTTTTATTTGTACCCAAAATAGTGCACTCTCATGAGACTGTGATAACAGTGATTTCTTGGCAGTTCTCCAGGTTCTCCTCTAATTGTGCAGGTCTACTGTTGGTCACTGCACAACGAAGGGGCAGAAGTAAAGAAAAGTATATAAAACATTCAATATTTTTTATTCTAGGAACAATGTAAAACATTTCTCAGTTATTTTTATCAGTAATTTTATACAACATTAATAGCCCTTTCTGTACCTGATAAAAATTTTCTACCTACTTGTATGCTTTAGAAATAAAATCTGTAGAAATATTTTGCTTATCTTCCTTATAAAATTTTAATGTATGTAATGCACATATTGGATATAATGTGCTTTATTTCATTAGCTTGTATATCCTCAAAAGAAGGTTCATTGATGAAAATTTAAAAATAAAATAAGATTGGTGGGGAACACTGATCTGTATACCTTAATAAATCCAATTTATTCTCAGATGGATTAAACACAGGATTAAAGGCTAAGCATGAATAAAAGTATATGTTTTTATCTTTGTATTCAGGTATGAAATGGTCTTTATATTATGCTTTTATAGCTTTAGTTCCAACTGTATGATTTTGGTGATAGTCTCCAAACATCAGAGTTTATCACAATGATTTCAGAAAAGAAGGAAAAGTATCAAAACCATGCATAATTAGATGGATGATTATCATTTATTTCCAATATCTGTAATATCCTTGTAAAATGTCATAATGATACTTAGGAGACTTTAGTTATTTCAGTTAACATTTATCTTTTGAAAATTGCCTTTTGTAATATTTTGGTGGGAAAAAATCTATTCATTATTATTTTATTCTAGCTTATTATGTGATGGTATTGTTAAATCTCTCTTTTTTTAAAGCTCTTCTCACAGACAGCTTTATCATCTTTTCATTTTTGGCACAAAACAAACTATGTTTTATTCAGTTTACCAAGAAGATGGGTTCTCCTGGTATAAACAAAAGATTGGAAAAACTCTCAGCTTTGGATTATAAGGTAGAGATTTCAATTTAAATAGTCATATTATTCATTATTAAGGTATTCTGAGTATCACATGAGTTGGTGTTATATTCATTATTCTTGAACATTTCTGGATTTCAGAGTCATTATAGGATTAAGCTTGATTTATTAGAAACAGTGGCCATCCTAAGTTTTCTTTTCTACTCTCATTATGGGGTTGATCTAACAATGGCATTTTTGGAGCAATTTATATATCTCTAATGTAAGTGAAGGACAGATAACAGAGGCAAGTTACATATTAAAAAATGGTCTTGTTGCTAGTGGTAGTATATATACCATTCTTCTTTTTCCCTAAGGCCCCATATTATCTTTCTAGGGTAGGATAGTTGCTCTGGCTTCTATTTCAAAAGAAGAGAAAGAAGGAAGAAGGTACTTTTAACAGTTGATAAAAAAGTGTAATAAACGAGGAGTAGGTAGATTCCCCCTTCAAACTATAACTGGAGAAAATGCAAAAAGAAATCTTTATATATTAGTATATCTCTCCCTTCACTAACTCCAAGTAATTTGTTTCCTTGTATCAGGGACTTTACATCTGTTAAGGCAGGATTTTTATTTTAAATGATGTGTTTAATTTAAGTTTTGCCACATTACATTTTAACTGCTTGAAAGGCATATTCTCTGCTAGGATGAGTATCTAATACATTTTCCAGGCTGTTTCAGTTCAAGGCTCTTTTTAGCAATGACTTGTGTTTGCAAGATTGATCCAGCCTCTGTGACGTGGATTTGAGACAGTTCACTGTTCACCGGGAACAGAGCTGATACATGGCTTCCTTAAAGGGGATGTGCACTTATGCCATACCTAGAGTATACAGCAAAGGCAAAGATTTCTAGACGTCAGCTTTGTGGCTTGAATCTGTGTATGTTTTTGAAAAACTAATATTTAACCTACCCTTTTACCTTTGAGATTATTTCTTACTGTGACTGAGGTGGTAGTGGTGTGAGGGAGGACCTAATTTTATTTAGCAGAAACATTTATTCTTATTAAAAAGATTTTTAATATAGGATAAAATATAAGTAAGCTTTTCATCATGGTAATAAAGTACAGTTTGGTTCTGTTCACTGGCTTTATGGAGCTTCTATAACTGATATTATGTAATATCAATTTTCTTTAGCTGGAAATCAGTGGTACTCATGTATTTATTTTGGTTAGTCAAAAATTGGTATTAACATTTTTAATGGTATGTTATTTTCCAGAATGGCTAATTATAGATTTAATTGGAAATGGTGTTTATTTACCAGTAGTGTTCTTCAAAATGCACCAGTATGCATTAACATAAACTATTTTCAGTGTTTCTAATGCTGTCATATAAAATGTTATTTGACTAGTTTGTCCATTTTAGGATTGATGGATAGTTTAGCGAAGTCTTCCCAGCTGAAGAATAGTAGCTGTCCATTAGTGAGAGAAGAGAGGAACTGTCAGGACATCATCTTTTCTTATGAAAAGATGTGGAAAATAGCCTGAGTATGTGGGCCCTTATACATTAAGTAAGGGAATTCTTTGTTTATTTTTTCTGCCTTTGGATTTGAGAAATTAGAATATGGCACTCCATATTTCTATAATTAGAGAAGTAATCCTTTTGGAAAGTCCATGGATTTCATATTCTGGTTTAATATTTGGTTATAAGTATTTAATACTGATTAAAAACTGAATACATTTAATACTGAGTACAAACTTCCAATTTGTTAATTGGAAGGGTATTTTAAGAAACTTCTTTTTTACTTGCTCTGTATGCTATCAAGATAGAATATGATGTGATTCAAACTTACAGGAAACATGAAATTGCAGATAACATACATGATTTGTGTTCTGTGAGGACTGAAAATATCAGTCTCTTGTTTAACTCTATTTCCTCATGTAGAAATTTGTAGGTAATAATGTTTACATGGCAGGTGGGACATCAAAAGAATATATATATTTTTAAGGACTTAGTAATTCCATTGTGATACTTCTTTCAAACAAGAAGAGAACAAATGATATTGAGAGCTTCAGTATAAGAATTTGCACCTCCAAGCATAAAGTACATGTGTGTTATCTATCATTGCCCATTTGGATTTGAAAACAAGGAAACAGTATGGAGTATTATAATTCTGCTTAAAAAAATAATTTTCCTTTTCTTTATAGCTGTACCGTAATTTAATTCTTGTAGATTGAAGTGTTTTTGGGCAAAAAAAAAAAAAATACTGGGTAAATATCATGAAACTATTGACTTTTAACAAGTTTTCCTGTCTGCATTTAAAAAATCCAATTCAATTTACTTAACAGTGAAGGGACAGTGCAAGGAGTTAAATATTTACCATGCGAGAACAACACTGGTAATTACTTTGATTTCAGTTCCTTTTGATGTGCATTCAGAGGATGAAGAGGTCAATAATATTATGGCCATGCAAATAGAAAAGGGTTTCTTTTGACCATATTTTTTAAAATAGCAGAGGATTATTAAAGCATTAACCTTGATTTTAATGGCCTTGGTTGAGTGGTGAGATCACAATTTGGATGAGCCTGATTATTTACTAAATACAATACATAAATGCAACGGGTTCTTAACACCCATTGCACTCTGGCATTATCGCATTACTGCCATCCTTTGTTGCCTTGCAGACAGGAATATGAAAGCAATCTGTCATGTAGTGAGACTGGCTCCAGAAGCATTTCTCTGATAAGAAGACCCCCTGCCCTTTGCTAGTGTCTGGTCCAGTAGGCTTAGCCATGCGCTTAATCCCCAGAAAGTGGTTCGATTATTGCTGACCAGCAATGGCAAGATAGTTTTTTTTTTTCCTCCAAGCTATCAACCTTCCATTAATTCCTTAAGCAGAAATACGGTGCAATCTATATTTCCTTGGCATGTGTCACCCAGATGGTGCTGTGCTTATGTTTTCAAATAACCATGTTCCAAAATAACATAGTTTGAATAATAAATTTTTACAAATTCTTCCTCAGAAGGAAAAGCATAATTCTCAGAAGCTGAATAAACTTTTACACATGATGGTGTGGCTTATTGTTTTTTTGCAGTAGCATATGTATGTATGTCTCACATAGTCTTTAAAGTGATATTTGCCTCAAGTTGTTTTTCCTCTGATTGTTGTCAGTCATTGTTAACATGTTATGTCTTAAACAGTAGTCAGACATTCTTGGTGAGCAGTACTAAACTTGTCATTTAACATAGCTGGTCTTAAATCTTATGTGCAGGTCGCTGCTGTCAAGCAACCATGACTGTCCATTTTGGTATCGATTGAGATTGCCACAGCCAATTCTTCCCTAACCCATATTTTTCCCTCTGCTAAAAACATAGAGAATTTTGAACATATGTCTTTTTTATATACGCATCAAAAGTATTTGGTAAATTCTAACACCTTCTTAACCATGTGTTTAACATGCATATTTACTTGCATTTATCTACATTTACAGATGCTTTAATTATTACAATACTCTCAGGACTTTGCATTAAAAATGATCCTGTGTGCTTTTTTTTTCAAAAAAAAAAATTAGATTTCCTATCATGAAATACCTGGCCCAGTCAACAGGACAACAGCACGGCGTCTGGCTATCAACCGTGCTCAGGATACAGTTGTTTGCTGGTGGCCACTGGTCAGTGATGATGCTTGGCCATGGACCCCCATCTCTGCTGAGAAGGACAGAGCCAATCTTCTGCTGCTGGGTTATGCTCAAGGAAGACTGGAGGTAAATCTAAAAGAAATACCTATATTTTGTTGAAGAGCAGGTGAAATAGGATTATTTACTTTTTCTAATTTGAAGTAAATGCAAATGATTTTTTCAACCTGTAATTTATTTTTCCTAATATTCAAAAAAGGAATATGAAATGGGATCCTTAAAAGTATCATACCTCGAGGTTACAAAGACAATTTAAGGGCTGGTGTGAAAAGCATAATGATTAGAACAAGGCTTCTGGGTTCAATTCCTAGCTCTGCCATTACAATCCTGGTTACCGGGCATAGGCCTGGGTTTCAGATCCAGTTCCAGGTGGTTAGGGTGTGTAGGGGAGGCAACGAGTCAATGTTTTTTTTTTTTCTCCAATCAGTGGTTCTCTCCCTCCCTTCCTCTCTCCCTCCCTCTCTCTCTATAAAAGCAAGGGGGGGAAATGTCCTCAGGTGAAGATTAATTTTTTTAAAATGACAATGTAATAAAGCTACTTATAATTCTATTAAATATTCTGTTTCATAATAAAAGTAAAAATACTTAAAATAGTCTTTAGTTATACATTGCACACATTACCTTTATTTTAAATGAGTGTATTACATGAAATTAGGGCTGCCCTAAAAGGGCGCACCCCTGGTTTGCATACCTCATCTCTTGCTGTCATCTACATCATGGACTTGAGGCTGACAGACCTGGGTTTGCCTGTTGGTTGGACCATATACTAACTTTGTGACTTAATCAAGTTCACTCCTTGTAAGCTTATGTGTGATAGACCTTGGGTAGGTCACCTACCGTCTCTGACTTTAGTTTTCTCTTTTTTAAAATGATGGAATTAAACCAGATAGTTGCCAGTTCCCTGACAGCTCTAAAAAGTGCTCATCAAGATTCTGAAGCACACATCTGATTTAGCCACTGCCTGCTCAAATGCCTTCAGTAGGTACTGAAAATAAACTGCCTCAGCACTGAAAAGCCCACTCTTGACTGGCTCTGACTTGCCTTTTCAGTGTTATACAGATCTATGTTCTAGCCAGATGGTTCACTCACTGCCTCATTATTTCCCATCTTCTGCATACACATTACTGCTGTTTCTACTTGAAAGGTTCTTTCCTTTCTCTTTCTACATCATTCAGAAACTACTGAGCATGATCATGGAGTAATAAGCACTGTAGTTCATGCCATGGGATATAAATGCAAAACTGTGCCTGCTGGCAAGGATCTTACTGTCTACCAATGAGAGACAAATATGAAAACGTGTAAGTGCACTCAAAATGTTAGATGGTGCTATGAATAGAGTATGTAAGCTATAGAGTATGTAAGCTATAGTAGAAGCCAATGGGTAATAATTGATTCTATTTAGACATTAAGGAGTAAAGATTGAAGAGGCTTTGCAATTTGCTCAAATATGAGATTAGTACACAATTTTACTTTCTTTTACTATTTCTAAGTTTCACATCAGGGTTGTCCTAGCCCTGTGGAGTGATTTGGCTGGTTTTTATTTTTCCTTCTCTCTGAAAAAGTAAAAGGAATTATCTGATATTTGAATGTCTGGTAAAACTCTTCCCTAGAACTGCCTGGGTATGGTGTCTTTCAAGAAAGGTAGATTTTTCATACTGGTTCTACTTTTTAAGGGTTGTTTGTTTTTCAGGAATTCAATTTTTCCTTGCATTACCTTCCATATTTTATGTATCTGAAAAAATTATCCATTTTGTGTAAGTATTTGAATAGATTTTAATAAAGTTATATATGATACTTGCACATGATTTTTAATTATTCACCACTGATTGCATAGTTAATGTCCCCTTTGTCAATCCTAATATGTTAAGTTATATAATTCATCTTTTTTGCAAGTAGTTTTTATGTTGAATTTGGCCCTTTCAGTCATTGTATGAAAATTAAAGTGTAAGAAAATTTTGGAAGTATTTCTTTCTCAGAATCTCCTGTGAAATTCTGTATGCAAAAGGTCAATGTCTTTTGGAGGGAATGTTTAGGAAACTAATTATTTTTTGAGTGCAAAGACATAATCTTTATGAATTGTAGCACTTTATCTTTTTAGCATATCATGAACTAAAACCACAACCCTATAAAAATAGTATTCAGCATATGTCTTTAATTTTTTTCACTAGTGACCAATAAATTTCTTGAACTAATATTAGAATAAAAGATGCAATATACTTTATTTTTTATTGTATTCTTCTATTAGCATTTATCCCCCTTATACCTTCTTCCAACACCACCCACCTCTCTCCCTCTGCCTCTACAAACACAACTTGGTTGTCTGAGTCCATGAGTCCTTTTTCTTTTTTTGCTTGATCCCTCCACCCACTAACATCTTGCCCCACCCCGAGCCTGTTAGCTTGCTCTATATTATGTATCTATCTCTACTTTGTTGTTAGTTCAGTTTGTTCCTTAGATTCCATGTATAAATGAAATCATAATGGTATTTGTCTTTGTATGACTGGCTGATTTTACTTAGTATAATGTTCTCCAGGTTCATCCCTGCTCTCACAAAGGGTACAATTTTCTTCTTTTTTATGGCTGAGTAGTATTCCGTTGTATAAATGTCCCACAGTTTTATCCACTCATTGACTGATGGACACTTGGGCTGCTTCCATATCTTGGTAATTGTAAATAGCGCTGCAGTGAGCATAGGGATGCTTATGTACTTTCGAATTAGTGTTTAAGGTTTCTTCTGATAAATTTTCAAAACTGGAATCACTGGGTCATGAGGCAGTTCCATTTTAAATTTTGTGAGGTAACTCCATATGGCTTTCTATAGTGGCTGCACCAATTTGCATTCCCGCCAACAATGCAAATGGGTTTCCCTTTCTCCACATCCTCGCCAGCACTTGTAGTTTGTTCTTTTGTTGATGATAGTCATTTGGACAGGTGTGAGGTAATAATCTCATTTTGGTTTTAATTTGCATTTCTCAAAAGATACAATAAATTTTAAAGCCTAAAATTCAAACGAAAAAGGTAGCAACCTGATAGAGAAGAAATTTAATCTTTGCATCTGTTACACTGTAGAATTTTTAAGAAGCATTTTCCCCTCCAAGTTCAATCAGAAAAGATAAGGTTTAAAAAAATTTTTTAAAAATTTTTTGGTACACTGGCAAGGTCCTAGACTAGTGGTTCCTTGACCTAGCCATGCAATACAGTTACCTGCAGAGCATTTACAAAGGGGCCCACCCAGACCAGTTACATCGGAATCTTCTGAAGGGGTGGAGGTATCAGTGTTCTTTCACAGGTTCCCTAGGTGATTCACATGTGCATCAAAATTGAGAACCGTTGCTTTGCAGCACAGTAAAAAAGAAAAATAATTAAAACCGTCTTTTTTTGAATAACAGGCCTTGGAAAGGATGAAGCCCACATACTGAACCAAATGAGAGTTTTAACAGTATATTCTAAGTAGAAAATTGGCTTACCAAGCAGCTAAAAAATAAAAATCCCCAAAACAAAGGAAACAGAAATAAGCTGTCTGTGACTGAATTATCAGTCTGTTAGAGGATGAACATTTTTTATTTATTTTATGGATATTAGAAAACTGCTTGTCTAATGTCACACTACAGAGCTCTAAACAACAGTACATATCTTAATTAGAAGCATAAAGCAGAGTTATGTAATCTAGGAAAAAATTTCTCTTGAAAAATATACAATAGTGTTCAGAAAAAAACATTTATTAGTAAATTATTTTTAAAACATTTTTAATAGTGTATTTGTGGATATCATATATAATGTGGTAGCATTTTTACTTAAATTTCACATACTCTTTCTACATTCTTTTGGAAAGTTCCTGCCATCATCTCAGAACTGTTTAATTCATTCACTGTCAAAAATGTGGTGACAACACAATTTATTCTTTCCTTACTTTTATCTTTGAGCAGGTATTTTAACTTTTCAGCCATATAGATTTGGTGATGCTCTCTGACTATTGTGTTAATTTCAAGACACCGTACTCAGAAAAAGTCCCCTGAATTTGTTTACCAAATTAATCAAAAGCATGTAAGCAGAGCTTTTAAACCTTAAAGCCTGTTGTCAGAGCTAGGGAACTATAACTTTAGAAAGATAACTTATTTCCCATAAAAGATAAAAACTATTTTTGTAGTGTTTTAGAGGAACATCAACTGATCTGAAAGTAAAAATGTGACCTGCTTTTAATACAGTATGATTTGATAAAAGAAGCAGTCAGGAAGCATTATAAATGCATCCAACTGAAAAGTCAAAATATTTAAGAAACATCTTTTCCAAAGAAATATATATAGTGTATTAGCTTTCACCCAGATAACAGAGATTTTTCTGTATTAGAGGTGATGTATGTTTTAATGTCTTCATTATAAAACACACATAAAGAAAACCACAAAAAATAAATGTTTATTTTAATAAGCTATTAGAACAGAAGTACTCCTAGTCAAGAAATAGAATTTTACCAGGTGCCCAGAAATACCACCACATACTCTGTCACAATCTTAACTTCTTTCCAGTCTTCAAAAGTAATTTCTGTGCTGACTTTTAGTCACTCTTTTGTATATCCATATATTTTTATCACCTAAATATATATCCCCCCAAAATATAATTTAATATTATCTACTAAAAATACTTCAGTGTGGACTTCCGCCAAGATTGAGGCGTAGGTGGAAACAATGTGACTTCTCGCACAACCAAGTTTAAAGACAACATAGTTTTAGTAAAACAAATATGCAGCCATAACACAGAAAATTAAACTACCAAAGTCCAACAATAAGGAACCCTTCAGCTAGACCTGTAAGAGGGGTGGAGCCAGCGGCTGGCAGGAAAAGTGGGTTGCACAGGAAAAGTTGGCCAGACTGGCCCAGGCACGCAGTTGGTGGTTGGCGAATCCCCAGGTGTGGGGTTGCGCCGGGCAGATGCAGTGGGGGCGCAAGGCGGAAGGCTGACCGCAGTTACACATTCACATGCAGAGAAACCAGTGAAGGAGTGAGCAGTGAGACAGACCACAAAGGCCCCAGTGCCCAGCAGCAGGAAGCAGCAGAGGGGACCACTATTGCTCC